GTGCGATAATATTCGCGGGCACGCTCGTATTTTCCCGAGATTAGCGTGTTTGGAGACAACGGGTGAACTGTATCCCGCGTGACAGGTGCGAAGCGAATTTCAAGCATGAAGGTTAAATCTGCAGAGCAAGAACAGATTCTATATTGTCAGGCAAGACAATGAGTTATTTAAAGCGTTAAAGGGAATATTTTTTGCATATGACATTTAGGCGTAAAACAATTCGTGAAGTGCATTAATGAAAGATGACACAATCCAGTACGATATTCAAATTATTATAATATCTACTATGAAAGGAAAGATTTTGCTGAAATATCTAAAAATTTAGGTAAATAAAGATCTGACAATAATTTTGTTGGATTATCAAAAAAAATTATATAGAACGCTCAAGCATTATGAGTAATGCTGTAAAAGGTTGAGACGTTCTAATAATCAGTTTAAGTCTAATTATTTTGATAGTCGTATACAATTCTTATATTTAATAAAATTTTTTCCTTCAGCAAAATAATTCTTTTCATTTAGCGTAATTATCAGTTTTTTGTGCTAGATAGTTCTTGATTACTAAAGTTCACATTTGAATCTTTATTCAAGGCAAAGATTTCTGTTTGGCACTTAGAAAATAAAAGGTTTCAGAACGGAATTTTCCTTGAAAAAAATATCTTAGATCAACAAATGATCTAACCCTTTTTTTGTAAAAAAAATTAGGCTGTCTTTCATCCCTAACTTCGAGAAGGCTTGTGGCTGCCTGTCCAAGATATCTAGAAAATCTGCTCCTCACTGATCTGTCCCAGAGCGTTGAAATCCACAATGTGGCTATCATCTATTTCTACAGGGTGTGCGCCGCGATGCACCGGGCAACGCGATAGCACGTGTCGTGATTGTAGTTTATGGGGAGCTGATTGCGGGAGCGTGGGATGACACTCGGTTGGCGAACGGTGGACGGGCACCCGCCGTGTCCGGACGCCATTCATCGGCGTACTTACGTATCCACTCCGGTGTCAGTGTTTCGTTTCGTAATCATTAAGATATGTATTATCCCCCTAATGACGAGCGGCGAGGCGCAACAGCGTGTCTGATCGGGGTGACTCTCTGCGAAGGCGCTGCGAGGGCGCGCATAAATTTTATGTAAAAGGGGCCTCCTCATCCCCGCTTCTCAACCTCTCTCTCGTGCTCTCGATGCTGATTAATGCGGATCGCACGTCGACCGGCCTCGCAATTAATTAGCTCTCTCGTAATCTTCGCGGGAAATTCCCGACGTTGATCGACGTGGCGATTAATGTGCGACTTCTCGACTCGGATACATTAAATCGCCTCTCGCAATGTAAGATATACCCCCTGTCGTTATCACATGTTGACATTGTAAAATGTCACTGGTTCAATTTCAATACGTAAATGAGTTTAATTTTGGTATATTTAATTTTAAAACGACACTTCTTATAAATTGAGGAGTTTCTACAACAATGGATTAACTCACATTTTATGACATTAGTATTTTTCGTATCACTTTAACTTTAGAGTTCATTTACTCCGTTTTTATAAAATGTAGGTTAATCCATTGTCACAATAAGCCTTTCAATTTATAAGAAATATTTTAAAATTAAATATCCTGAACTCACTTACGCATCAAACCGGAAAAATATATATTTGTGTCAACTACATTGTAAGGTTAACACAATAAGATTAACACAACGTAGCCAAATACGTGATATTGGTATTTTTGCTATCACTTTAATTTTAGAGTTCATTTTACTCCGTTCTTATAAAATGTCAACCCACTGTTGCAACAAATTCTTCAATTGCTCCGAATTTTAAGAACTGTGAATCAATTGAAATTCTGTTGTTTCTTCTCCATAAAATTCCATCTTTTCTTGATCAAGATTTTTAATTACGTTTCCTTTAATCTTTATTAGATAGATAGATGGCTATGCATCTCTAGCATTGTTATTTATATTATATTAAGAACCTTGTTTTAGAAAAGGAAAATAAAAAGAATCTGGAAGTTTTAAAGCAGAGTTTTAAAGCAAATTTCCCAAATTAATCTTAAAAAACTGTAATAAACTTATTGCGAAAAATATTGCCTCGGCCGGGATTAATTTCGGAAATTTGAGAGGATTATTAATATTTCAGATTGATTGTTGAAAGTCTGACAACCATATCGACATGCAATTATCATTTCTGAAATTAATTCATTTGTATGAATATATATATATAATATATAGTTCAACATCTTAATATTCAGACCATAATGGCGCTTCGTATTCAAAGTAATGTATTTAACATAAACGGTCTTGTTTCCAATCTTATTATATGTTTGGGATGTTTTGCAGAGCACTCTACTTACCTACTTAAAGGTTAATAATGTCCTTTACAGCTAAATTGAAAAGGCATAAACCGTTAAAAATTTTCTTGCCTTTTACAAGAAAATTCTATACCTACTGTTCAGAAATCATCTTCTACACATTATGACGTTTTGTCATTGCGGTATGCATTAATGTCTCGACAAGTTTCAAACTTCTGTGCGAATAAACAGAATTATTGTCGCAGCCGATACGCGTCAGAGCTTGATGCGTGTATTAATGCGGTCCTATGGCCCATTGTGCTAGATTGCGATGCTCTTTCGAGCGAGTCCTCGCGGCTTTTCGGTCGATGTCCGAAGTGATTACACGCGAATCAGCCGAGGTAGCTTCGCCGCGGCGGGGAGTCCGTCCGAAATGTCTAATGTCCCAGGAAGAAAGAAAGAAACTGCGATCGTACTCCGCATGCATTCTAGAACCCCTTGCAATGTGTTTCTCTTTTTTTTTAAGCCGATTCGCTGAGACCTCTCTTTCTCGTCATCTGCTTTCCTCGTTGTTCATTCTCGATGACGATTCTCACGAACGGAGAGTTACGACAATTATTCTTTTTTCTTTTTACGACATTTTATTACGATCGGCATTAATTACACGGAGAATGTAATGATATCGTTGCAATCGCAATTAAATGTGGCGTGCCAACATGAGAAAAATCAAGGACGCGGAAAGAGAAGTGCGCCCGTGCAAAATGCCGATTCCGCCACCGGTATCGCCGTTCCATTTTCCGCCTTCGTCTCGGGCGGAAGCTTTCAGCGGCGGAATCCCGCGATTCAATTAAACGCACGATTACTCGACAAACGTAATTAATTTTAATTAACGATGCGCACCGAATTGCAGCCGCGGGATCGTATACAGCGGCCCTCTCTGAACCTCGCACGATCTCATTGGCGGGATCACGCGATGCGTGATGGCACGGAGGCGGTCGGGCGGATTTCACGACGAGAGTGTCGACGGCCGCGCGGCATTTCGTGTGAATCAAAGGAAGATTAGATATCGTAAATTTATACTGAGGGTTCCGCGTCCGAGTCGTTACGAAATCGATGGTAGACTCGTAAGTCGTATCGTCGCGGTAAGCTGCTCTAAAATTTGCAGCTAATTGCCTGGCATCGGAAAGTATTGGACGATTAATCGATGCGTGATGTTAATCACGTAAATTATGCCATATGTGTAATTTATTAATTATTATAATAAAGTCGTCAGAAAATCTAAAATTAGATTAGTGAAATATTATAAATATTTTATACCTATACATATATATATATATATATATG